TTCACCAAACCCCGCCCCTTTACACAAACCCTTCCCTCATTCCTTTACCCTTTTGGGGTGAGGTGGAGAAGACCCCCCCTGCCGACTGTCCTGAATCCGGGTCACACGAGGCGATGGCAGAACTTTCTGGAAGGTTGTTTTTATTTGACCTGCGCATATTTTTAGGAGGTGGCATTGCACTTTCCCACAATCCCCCTCGGCCCTGCTTGACCGACATGGTTTGCCATGACATCAAGGAGGGTATGTGGATCTTCCAATTGCCGGCCCTGACCCCGGGTTGCTGGTCTTTGCTGAGACCGTGCTGTTTGATAGCACTGTTGGTGACGCCTTCCATCACTTTCCTGATGATAGACAGTTGACTGATGGGGCGGTAATTGGCCGATTTGGGTTTCTCCTGCCTTTTATTTACAGGGCATACCTGAGCAATTTTCCACACTGTCGGGTAGATGCCAGTGTTGTAACTGTACTGGAACAGCTTGGATAGGCGAGTGGCAAGTTATGGAGCACAGGCCTACAATACTGTTGCTGGAATGATGTCAGGGCCCATAGCCTTTGCTGTATCCAGTGCAGGCTTGGTGGATTGGCCATGCTAAATTGCCGATAGTGGTCTGGGGTGTCGGGGGGGAATCCTCTGAGGGTCAGTGTGGACTTGTTGGGCCGAAGGGCCTGTTTCCACACTGTAGGGATTCTATGAATTCTGTGAATTCAATGAATTTCTTGGATGTCAAGTAGAGTGAATTGAATGGATTTGAAGACTGGTATCTGTAATGCTGGGGATCGCTGGAGGAGTCTGAGATGGATCATCTACTTGGCACTTCTGGCTGAAGATTGCTGCAAAGGTTTTGGCTTTATCTTTTGCACTGATGTGCTGGGCTCTTCCATCATTGAGGTTGGGGATGTTTGTGGAGCCTCCTCTTACAGTGAGTTCTTTAATTGTCCACCACCATTCATGATGTGGCAGGACTGTAGAGCTGACATCTGATCTGTTGATTGTGGCATCACTTAGAACATAGAACATAGAACATAGAACAGTACAGCACAGTACAGGCCCTTCGGCCCACGATGTTGTGCCAAACTTTTACCCTAAACCTAAGGTCTATCTCACCTCAACCCCTACCTTATACTATCATCCATATGCCTATCTAATAGCCGCTAAATTCCCTAATGAGGCCGACTCCACTACCCTCTCCGGCAATGCATTCCATGCCTCTACCACTCTCTGAGTAAAGAACCGACCTCTGACATCTCCCCTATATCTACCTTCACTCACTTTAAAACTATGCCCCTCATAATAGCTACCTCCACCCGAGGAAAAAGTCTTTAGCTGTCCACTCTATCTATCCCTCTGATCATTTTGTACACCTCTATCAAGTCACCTCTCATCCTTCGTCGTTCTAAAGAGAAAAGCCCTAGCTCTCTCAACCTTTCCTCGTAAGACCTTCCCTCCATTCCAGGCAACATCTTGGTAAATCTCCTCTGCACCTTTTCCAACACTTCTACATCTTTCCTGTAATGAGGTGACCAGAACTGGACACAATACTCCAGATGTGGCCGAACCAGAGTTTTGTATAGCTGGAGCATAACTTCATGGCTCTTGAACTCAATCCTTCTATTAATGAAAGCTAACACACGATACGCCTTCTTAACAACTCTACCCACCTGGGTGGCAGCTTTCAGGGAACTGTGAACATGAACCCTATGATCCCGCTGCTCCTCCACACTGCCAAGAATCTTTCCGTTAACCCTGTATTCTGCTTTCAAGTTTGTCCTTCCAAAATGAATCACCTCACACTTTTCAGGGTTAAACTTTTCAGCCCAGCTCTGCATCCTATCAATGTCCCTTTGTAACCTAGAACAGCCCTCTGCACTATCCACATCTTGACCCACCTTCGTATTGTCCACGAACTTACCATTCCACCCTTCCACTCCTACATCCAAATCATTTACAAAAAGCACAAATAGAAGAGGACCCAGAACAGATCCTTGTGGTATACCACTCATAACTGAGCACCATGTTGAATATTTTACGTCCACCTCCATCCTTTGTCTTCTCAGGGTCAGCCAATTCTGAATCCAATCAACCACATTTCCCCCTATCCCATGCCTCCTTAATTTCTGCATGAGCCTACCTTGGGGAACCTTATCAAATGCTTTACTTAAATCTATGTATACCACATCCACTGCTCTATCTTCATCCACGTGTTTGGTCGCCTCTTCAAAGAATTCAATAAGGTTTGTGAGGCATGACCTACCCCTCACAAATCCATGCTGACTATCACGAATCAAACTGTTCCTTTCCAATTGATCATAAAAAGCTCTGTCTATCAGTTGCTGTTAAACTGTTTGGCAATGAAAATAGAGCTGTTGGTGGCTTCACCAGGTTGAGACTTCATCTTCAGGTATGCCTTGTGCTGCCCTTGGATGCCCTCCTGCACTGTCCATTGAATCAGGGTTGACGGTAATGTTTCACGAGGGGATATGTCACTCAATCAAGAGCTAGACGCCAGACCTTTGGACAGTGTTTGACCTTTGTCATTTCTTCCTGTCGACAATTAATAGCTTGGCCCTGAGATTTTATGCACTGTTTGACCTTTGCTTATTCTTTGAATTGGTAATTAAGAACCAAGCCAGAGGCTTCTAGGAAAGTGTTTGATCTTTGCCAATTCTTCCTATTGGTCTTTAAGTGCTAGGCCACAGGCTGTTGGTCCTTGCCAATTCTTCCTATTGATAAGTAACAACTAGAAGACAGACTTTTGGGCACAGTTTGACCTTTCCCCATTCTTTTGAGTGGTAATTAAGAGCTAGGCCCGAGGATTTTTGGCCATTTTCTTGTAGTGGGTGATAACGTGGTACCTGTTGACCACGGCTGGGAGGCCTCGGGGGCTGCCCATTGTTCTTCTCCTCGCCAGAGCCCAGTGAGGACAGGACGTGGCCCAGGTTGGCAAACAGGCCCTGGAGGTCAGTGATGACAAGCTGCAGCTGCTGTTGGAGGTGATACAAGTTCTCATTCAGCGACAGCTACTCAACCAGGATGCGGCCCAGGAGGGCAGCCAAGAGGCGGAAGGTGGAATGGTGCCAGCACAGGTGGCAGCAGGCTCCCCAGTCATCCAACTCGTCGTCAAGGGTGGGCAGCACGGGCAGGTGCAGGTAAGTGTCTGCGAGCCCTGGACGGTCATCTTTGAAACCCTGCAGCTCCGTCTGTGGGAAGGGAAAGAGGAAGGTTGTCAACAGCTGAGAAGGCTGGAGTCAATCGTGAAAATGGGGCCACTGAGAGGCCTCAGTCCCACACACTCCGATTGGTTAAGCAGGCTCAAAATGGAGGCTGAGCCTAAATTTCCCTGCACTGAGTGGCTCGAACTGTCCTGCACTGGGTATCAGATTGGCTCACTCAGGACGAGGCCTGTAATGCAGCCTGGCCCCTACATTTCCCAGCATTGAATTCACCACTGGAGAGTGAAATTGGCTAATTGGTTAACATAGCTGTTGGCCTGTGATGCAGCCTGGGCCTATATTTCTCTGCATTGTGGTGAGGCGGGGTTGTGGGAGAGGAAGTGTTCTCCACCGGGTGTGAAATTGGCTCATTGGCTAAATCACCACTAGGCCTGAGATGCAACCTGTCCCTGCAAAGTGGC